CTTTTCTGTCGGGCTGCAGGAATTTTCCTCCTACTGCCCGACTGTCTGGCAGATGATTTTAAGAAAACTTATGTATTCAGTTTTATTACAACTCCTTGTTATCCCCCGCCCCAACAAAGTTGGCGGGGGATATAGAAATGGGTTCCGTCCGTCCGTGTGTGTGTGCGTGTGTGTGCGTGTGTGTGTGGGTCCCAAAATCGTTTCCGGAGCATAACTCAGAAACAGTTAAATATTTCTCTACGAAACTTTGCATGTCTATCAGACAGGATTGGACTTAAGGAGTATAACAAATAAACTGTTAAATATTTCCTTGCCAAACATTGCATGTCTATATACATGATATATAAAGCGCATACTGAACTAGTACCATTTGATATTAAAGGAGTTTTAGAAATGTTTATTTTAGAATTTCCATTGCAGCTATTTTGACATGGGCTAAGAGAAATGTTGGGTCATTTACCTGGTTTGACTTTGTCAACTATACGATTGTAGATTCTCAAGTAATTGTTTGCATGATTTCAACTGAATCAAGATGCTATTTGTCTCTTATTTTTATTGCATATTTTCAATATTTATTATGTCTGAAGGGAACTTTGACGATGGGCAGGCAGCACTTATTGGTCACCTGTCCGACTATCTTGTTGGGTTTTTAAATTATTTCAAACACTAGGTCTGACTCACTCATTTACAGATGTAGCTATCAAGTGTCATATACTCCCCATTCCATTTTGATAAATACCCTGGACCCATATGCTGCTACATCAATGTTTAGGAAGTGACATTTTTTCATGGCCATACTATTAGTATTTTTGCACAGATTTTCTTTCGCATGTGAGTGAAAGTTGATTGGAGGACTATTTTGGGTGTCCCATATACGTGATGGTGGTAAATGAAGGCAGTCTTTTTCATTATTGAATCGGGGCGGGTAGCCTAGTGGTTAAGCGTTCGCTCCTCACATCGAAGACCCGGATTCGATTCCCGACATGGGTACTATGTGTGAAGCCCATTTCTGGTGTCCCCCGCCGTGATATTGCTGGAATATTGCTAAAAGCGGTGTAAAGACATACTCACTCACGCACTCACTCACTCACTCACTCACTCACTCATTATTGAATTGAGATGTAATACACTGGATTATCGAGAATCCAATACTGCTGACTGTGGTTAAACATCATTCAGTGATTGTCAGAACTGGTGGACTATAATTCTTGTGTACACAATGTCATCAATATTACTTGATATACAATGCTGTGTGGTAACACTGTTAACGTCATAATCCATTTTGAAACCGACACGATAACCCAATGGGCTATGGATATCAGTGTCGCTGGATAGTTGACACAGTTGTGTACTCTGAATGGCAAGGATTTCCAGTGTGTGAAGTAAGTACGTGCTGATAGCCCTTGGCTACTTAATTTTCTTTCTAACTTGTGAAGATTAAATCAAACTTGCCCAACTGGCTAACTTAATTTATGTCTAGTGAGCTATAATGTTGTAATTAAAGTGTGAAATATGAAAGTTCAAAATGGGAATTTCCAGTAAGAATGGTCGGTAGCTAGATTTTAAATGGCTGATTTCTGATTTGCTGCTTATAGCTGTAAAACTGCTGATGCGATGTAATGCAATATTTATTCATTCATTTGGTTGTGTAAAATAGAATTGGCTCCTCAAATCTAAAATTGGCTAGTAAAAACATATTGAGCTGTCCGAGCTGTCCCAGCTGGTTAGTATTTCACATAACCATGTTGAAGATGAATTCCATGTTCTTATGATTTGTGACCAGTACTCTAGAGTTACCCCTCCCTCTATTGAGAATTTTATAAGACTTATGTCAGCTGAAAACGAACAAATTTTAAAAAGCTTAGGTAAATTTCTCTCCCAAGTAATGAACATTTGAACGGAAACACAGTGTTGAAAGGTAAATCATTATTAAATCTACTCAGCATGCAAATATATATACAGTATATTTCCATTGTATTATGGGCCTGTGGCCTGTATTTCACACACATTGCTGTTGACCTCTATCCATGAAAGTTTTGACCACTTGCACATTCACCCAAGCAATTTGTCCTATTTTTAGGTATCCCAATTGCTTCAGGCAAATCTGTTTATTATTACTAGTTTTTTTTGGTGTGTTATTGCACTTGTTGTTAGTCTGACCATGCTGAAAATACTTTTGCTTTCCAAATTAAAACCTTTGATAAGTAAAAATCAAAAGTCAAATTTAGTTCATATAATGTTACATTGCAATGATAAAACAATCAAAGAAAATCAAGATCTCTTTGTTGAGCTGGATGCAGACCTGATGTGCAGTGTAAGTTTCCGGTTGGGAGATCAGAGCATGAGGCCCCACAGAGGTGGTGTCAATCAGAGTTACCTCCCTTCCGCCAGTTGGACTCTTTTATTGATATGAGTGGGGTTCATATTTCGATAGTCATTGTCCCTTGGCCAGCTTTCTGTTGCAATACAATATCAATACTGTATGGCCATGTGATAACACCTGGGACTTTCTACTGCTTCTGTGTAGGATATAAATTGCTTTATATGGAGCTGGATGTTTCTTTTCGGACAAATTTTTATTCACCAAAATACTCATTTGGTCATGTGACCTGTGTGCAGTGAATTTTACCATGTTTACATACCCTCGTAGGTGGCATAAGAGTCATCTCCAAATGTAATGTTCAAGAAGAATGACCTTGTAAGTAATCTTGATAAATAAAATTGTATTATTAACAACATTTGAATAGAAGGTTTTATCAATATGTTAAAGGATTTGCGTTACATTTTATTGGTTATGAATGTCAAAACATTGTCATCAGTATTAACATTATTGACAGTGCCATGGATCGAATGCCCTATATGAGATACCTGTCTGTTAGTGCTGTGATAGTTGATAAACATGGTAAGGACATGATGATGCAATACTGGGCATGTGACACGTGCAGGAGCTGCCTCCTTGATGTACGGATATCTGGCTGCTGTCATACATCAGTGTATTGCCAATACCCCAGTATACTTCAGTATGGATTTGTTGACATGGTATTTCCGGTGTTACGTGCTCACGGTACTGTCTTTCCATGGGGGAAAAAACATCAAAACTCATTAATTCGTGTATAATGCGCACCGTCTTCTACACAGCTGTGGGTTTTTTTTAAAAAAGTGTGCACTATACTCAAGAAAATACGGTAGTTACTACCCATTAGGAAATATGTAATTATATTCATGATATGAAATGGTGCTATTACCAATACTAAACTGTTGTATTGACAACTTGTTTCTCCTTGGTACGTGTTTATTAAATAGTATGGAAATTTTGATATATAGATTTGCTAAGAGTTCAAATCCCATATATGGGCAACCATTTCTGAAGTCAAGATTGAAATCGTAACAAACGTTATAGTGTGTATCATCAATGTATCGTATCAACACCCATGTACAGCATGTATAGTGTGATACATCACAACTTGCTGGGGAGTAAAGTGTTCAAAATTAGGGGGGAACCTGGATGTTTGCTTCTACATTGTTTGAATTTAGGGACCCTCGCTAAATGTTTTAGCTCACCTGACTGCCTATCCATCTATAGGATAGAGCGTGTGCAGGGAGAGCTGAAGGGTCAGTTGTTCGATCCTAGGCTCATCATACTAACAGACATTAAAAGATGGTACTTACTCTTATCCTACCTGGTGGTCAGTATTAAGAAATTTAGAAGTGCATACATGAAATGGTAATTCAGTGGTGATGTATTTTATATGGGTTTCATAGTTGTGTTTTGGACTGTAAGTTTGCAGTGTTTTAGTGACTGTTTTTTGGTCATCTTGTATATTTTTGCCCGCCAGTTTACATATATATATCAGTTATGATAGTGAGGTCACAATGATACATTTCATGATAGTCGGGTCACAATATGATAAATTTCATAATAGTCACAATATGATACATTTCATGATTGTGAGGTCACAATGTGATGCATTTCATGATTGTGAGGTCACAATGTGATATATTTCATGATTGTGAGGTCACAATGTGATATTTTTCATGATTGTGAGGTCGCAATGTGATATGTTTCATGATTGTGAGGTCGCAATGTGATATTCTTCATGATTGTGAGGTCGCAATGAGATGCATGTCATGATTGTGAGGTCACAATGTGATGCATGTCATGATTGTGAGGTCACAATGCGAATGTACCATGGCTCATGTTACCAGCCACTCATTGGTCTGGCCGAGACACAAATGTATATGGCGGTGGGTTAGCCTCTGGGTTAAAGGTTTCCCTCATCAACCTAAAGACCCCGGTTCGATTCACCACATTGATACATTGATTTGGTGTTGTCATGCATCATGATATAGGTCTGTATGTATAGTGTATTGTATCGAAGGCCACATTGTAGTACATCGTAGTGTTGTGTATTGTTTTCCCTTTAATAATCGGATTGTATAATTTTGAGTTGATATGGCTGGTGTTTGTAGATCTCATTCATGTTGAAAATAGCAACCAAAATTAACAGTATTTAGGTAATGGTGTTCAACCCGTGAAGATGCGGGTTATAATAGATCTTCAGCAACCCATGCTTGCCATAAGAGGTGACTAGGCAACTAATGGGATCGGGTCGTCAGGCTCGCTGACTTGTCGATGCATGTCATCTTATCTCAATCACTGCATTGTCTGATCCAGACTCGATTATTTACAGCTCGCCGTCATATAGCTGGAATATTGCTGAGCATGGCTAAAAACAAACAAACATGATATTGTATCTGTGCTCAAATCCCAGACTCACCCAAATTATGATCCATGGTCTGACAGCACCATACCCATGCTGGATTTTTTAGTGAGCTTTCTTCCCACTTTAAATACATTGTGTGACATTGCTAAAATAGTAATGTTAAATCCAATTCTTTTTCTGTCTCTAACATGTCTTAGCTATGCATTCATAACTGTCTTCTTGACTATTGGTTACTTTGTTGGAATAATGTCTAAACAAATTCTTTCTTCTTTGCAGTTGGACAAGATAAAGGAACGAGCACGTCGGATAGCCGAGCTCCCACAAGACAAGTTTAATGTATTGGTTTTAAGCGCCCGTGAGTTCAGTCTTGCACAAAGTCGGCCCAAGATGAGTAGTTTAGATGCCACCAGCGGGCCTGGCTCGGATGATTGGAGTGGAGAAGATGAGGATGATGGCGGCACAGAGGGAAATAAGCGTAGCTACAGCCACACAAACTTCATGTTGGGTAGTCACGTGAAAGGAGAGGATGCTGAACGAGATTCAGGCCTACCTTCATCAGGTAAGGGTGCCGAAAGCTGGTGCGACTTTGAAGGAAGTGATTCCGAAAGGGGTGTCTATGACTACTTTCCAACCGAAGAAAGCATCAAGAAAAGTGATGCTGTGAAGATCAGTCATACGGTCAATCCAGATTTCGATGAAGTTATCGATGTTGAGTCCGACAAGAGCTCCATTGAGTCTCCCCGTAGTGATGCCTCTAGTACAAATGAATATAACGTGACCAGCCCTCTGGAGGAAGATGGGATTGAGATGAAGACCTTTAGCCATCACGAAATCCCACAGGGGGGCATCCACAAGGCCTTGTATGGCAAGGGGGATCATATTCCGTATACCGTCTTGCAGAACGAGAGCGATGATGAGGAGTACTGTCACACGGAACAGCAGAGAAGGTTCATGAGCTCAGACTGCACTATGACAAGAGGTACTAGAAGTGTTGATGACCAGGTCTGCTTCCCTTTCAATAGGAACAATCGCTATTCTAGCTACTCTCGAACTCCAGAAGAGGCAGAAAGTGGGGGTTTCCAGAAACAAGGCACTTTCTTGAGCCGCAAGCCTCCGTTTGGTTATGGAGAAGAACAGCTGACGAATGTTGGTGGGTCAATCGCTCGTCTCCTGCCAGGCAACATGTCACAAGGTGCAGACATCGGGGAGGATGGCAAGAAGAAGAAAGGCACAAAGAAAAAGAAAGGAACAAAAGGTATGTACAATTTTCCTTTATTTCTAGAATATTTAGCTCCCATTTCATTACAATGTTTTAGATCTGTAGAACTTCACAATTTCCATAAAGGTGTCATGGGTGGTTCAAGTGTGCCCCAGGTGTGGTCCAGGTGTGCCCCAAGTGTACCCCAAGTGTACCCCAAGTGTGGCCCAATTGTGGTCCAGGTGTGCCCCAGGTGTGGTCCAGGTGTGCCCCAGGTGTGGTCCAGGTGTGCCCCAGGTGTGCCCCAGGTGTGGTCCAGGTGTGCCCCAAGTGTGCCCCAGGTGTGGTCCAGGTGTGACCCAAGTGTGGTCCAGGTGTGACCCAAGTGTTGTCCAGGTGTGCCCCAAGTGTGGCCCAAGTGTGGCCCAAGTGTGGCCCAAGTGTGGTCCAAGTGTGGCCCAAGTGTGGTCCAAGTGTGGTCCAAGTGTGGTCCAAGTGTGGTCCAGGCTCTGTGCTGAAGTTGTATCCCTGTGTTGCCAGGACCACATTTGTTAAGGCAACCTGAGCACTACGACTACCGTAGCTGCCATACCTTATCATAGACTTATAATAGTCATAGCTCTTAGATCTGTCCCCAAGAGCTGCTTGTTGTGAGTTTGAAAACCAGATTGGTAGGCTGGTGAAAGCTCAACCTGAACATTTTAGAAAAATATGCTGAACAAAAAAACTTAGGAATGAAGAAAGTTTTAGGGGATATTTTGTGTAGTGGATACTGAGCACACAATTTTGTATTTCATATATATAACAATACTTCATGATTCCAATCTTTTTTTGTTCAGTATACTTCAAAGTTTTTCCTCAACTTGTGAATTTTTTTATCAGCTTATTGTAATTGTTAAACTTAGGCCTTAGTAGTTAGTACCTTTTGGGCATGTATCTTGAGTTATGTATTATGAGATTCTGCTTTGTACACTCTTGCTGGGTGAAGTGTATATCTATCTGAGAGTTGGATGTCTATTAGGGATAGTAACTCCATTCTTACCTGGAAAGTAACCACCACGGGAATTGGATGATGTGTGGTATGGATTGCAGGGTTTCAGATTTATACGCTTTCTAGGACATTCACTGATCATCGCTGAAAATGTCCTGAAGATAGTTTCAAATGTGGTAAATATATCTACAGAAGGATGTCATCAAAAGTTGATGAAAGACTACAGAAATTGTCCTAATGCAGTTTGTTGCGGGCACATTCCCTGTGATAGTCACTGGTTATTCGTCTACCCACTAAAATGCAGTCACTGCCATAACCTGATTCATGTCATCTTATGCAAATTACATGGATCAGTGCTAACGCCTTCAAGCAATGGTTTGTCTGATCCAAGTCAGAACTCACTTAGGCTGACAATATGGAGCTGATGCTCCTGATGACTGGATTTTGCCTTGTTCAAGTCAGACATTCAACTAAACCGTGTAATACTTTTTGTGCCATGTGTTTAGTACATACCAATTTTGATGTGCCGTTTAGACAGGTCCATACTTGATTATATGCTATACCAACAGTTTTTGGTTTAATACAACCAGTTAATGGGACATCCCTGTTATGATTCATGATGATCATTCTCTGAACTGCCATTACAAAACCTCTTAATTTATGTGGGGCAGAGTTACCTCCCTTCCCCTGTTATTGCACTAACGTGGAAACAACAGCTTCTATATATTACATCAAATCCATAGCTTTTCTTCATTTGTATATTATTGCTGCAAAAGGACATTTCAGAAATGACTTTTGTGTGACTTCTGAAAAAGAAATGGAAATTGCCATTTCTTAATTTGAAAAAATATCAGCTGCTTGCTGGTACTGCCATAAACCGTCTTCTTTATGTTGCTCCCTGGCTGTTTTATTGTGAATTATGATTTTACTGGAAAGGAGTGATTGTGCAGTTACTTTCTTATTGGGAAGACAAAGAGGCAGATTATCAGAAACTGATTGTATTTCAGCAAATGTTCGGTATCTTGTGTTTGAAGATTGTACTTTGTGTCTGCGTAAGGCATGATGAATTATGAAAATGGTATTTACCTGATTTACGTGAAGATATCTCTAGGTTTTCCAGTTTTCTGTCAAGGTCATATTGAAGTAATAACGATCGCCATGATTACTGATTATCTGGTTGAATAACTGGCCCACCAAATAATTGGCCAGCCAAAGTCATATTCCATCACACTGAAATACAAGTTAAATATTCTTCCTGCCCATGTGCATGATGTGTGTTTGACCGCGTGCATGTTTGACCGCGTGCGTGTTTGACCGCGTGCGTGCGTGCGTGCGTGCTAGCGTGCGTGCGGGCGGGCGGGCGGGCGGGCGTGCGTGCCAGCCAGTGTCTGTCAGTGTCTGTGTCTATATATATACCCCAGGATATTTAAAATTGTTGACATTCTTGACAAGTGTGTTTTTGACTGTATGACCTGTTGCCCACTAGCCACTGATGTGGAGTTCTTGCTGGCCCAGCTTCTATTCCTGATAGACCAAAGTAGGGTATGGCTTGAAATGAAACAAACAAGAAATGATTATTCGATGGTGATGTCTTGGTAAAGCTATCATAGTTATGTTTGGGACCTTAAACTCCGGTTCGGGCACAATAACATTTATTCAACTAAACTACACAAAATGACAACATTGTCTAATAACAGTTGAATGCTGATACCAACTAGTTTAACAGTTGGTCAGTTGGTTGCTGATGCAAGGCAAACAATATCTTGGCAAACTTTGCAGTATGCAATGTCATAGATAAGCATGAGAAACGCCCAACCCAAAATTTTGTACTTGTAAGGAAAACAAGATAACATGTTATAGATTATGGATGGTATAGGAAACGTTGCAAAAGATCACATTGTCTCTCGGCTGGCATTTTGAGATAAGCAAACACAGAGTCTGATCGCCAATCACCAAGGATCCCCATTCCTGAGGGAAAGTTTCAGGCCGCCTGGCTGCTGGAAAAACTCACATAAGTTCCGGCTGTGTGAACAGCCAGCCCGACCGGAAGTTAAACTTATGTTACTACGCAACATATACCTTAAGTTTTCAGTGTTTCAGCAACTGTTATCAGGGTAGTAACGTTTTGAGAACTTTTGTAAAAAATTTGTTCAAGTCCAATTTTCAGGTGAATAATTTCTTTTGCCTGTCAGCTCTTATGTTTTTGTGAGTCTTACTGAATATATGACTTGTACCGCGTGCTTGTAACCAGCAAGCATGGGTACCAGCAAGAATAGGTAGGTTGGTTGGTTGGTTGGTTGGTTGGTTTGTTGTTTTACGCCGCACTCAGCAATATTCCAGCTATATGACGGCGGTCTGTAAATAATTGAGTCTGGACCAGACAATCCAGTGATTGAAATCATGAGCATCGATCCACACAATTGGGATCGATGACATGCATCAACCAAGTGCTCCTGTTAGTCACCTCTTACAACATTAGCATTGTCGCCTTTTACGGCATGCATGGGTTGCTGAAGACCTATTCTACCCCGAACCTTCACGGGCCGCATAGGTAGGAGATGGCCAGACATTCTTCCTGTATCTTTAAATTGTCTTTCAAACCAGAAATGGGCCAGGAAACCAGTATTGATCGATATGTCTCATATTTGAATTTTGTTTCTCTCCCTATCTCACAATGGCATGCTTCTTACTGTTTCTGAGGCAAAATGTTGTGTTTAACATGTTTAATAAATGAAGTTTGGGACAGTAGGCTCAAGTTTTTTGCACAGACTCGCGCAAATTATTTCTAAGTATTATTTCTTACCATTAGGATCCGATTGCAAATAACTGCAAGAGACAGGTGTTTTGTATATGGCTCAAAATAATAAATATATACCACCCAGGAAGATATTTAATTAATAATCAACTGATGATATGCTAAGGACATGCTCCTCAATTATTACGCCAGTTTCTTTGCTGCTATTGAAGTCAGTTGGTCAATAAATCAACAAGTACCCCAGGGTCCATTAATATGAATCATCTGTGTATCAACTTCAGCAGTTTTCCAATGTTGAGTCTGATGAATATTGTTTAAACAGTGTGCATGTAAGTGGCTGGTGAAGTAAATGTTGACAGTTAGGGAATATTCCAATAGGGAAATGAACAGCGTTGCTAATGTACAATAATGGATCTATATGTTAATACACTCCCTCCCTCCCTGCCCTGCCCGCACCACCTACTGGTTCTAACTTATCAGCTCTAGCCTGTCAGTCAGTCAGTCCCATGGAATGGCGTGGTAGCTGGAGATGGGGACCAGAACTCAGATCAATGGAGGAATGGCTGTGTGCAGAATGCCAGGCTATGGGAAAATGTGCAGTCTGAGATAAGGTCTTGCAAGGTGCTGCACCCTCCTCGTGGTAGAAAGGCCCTCTATGCAGAAAATCTGATGCCAACTTTTATGTGTGGGTAATGAGTTGAAAATATTTTCGTCATCAACCTGTGCTTGTTTTCATGGCAAGGCAGGGCACAGTCAGTTTCTATTGATTTCTGGATGCCAGTTCAATTACTTCACATGCAAATCATCGCTCCCTGGCATTTCTCCCATCCTTTGAGGAGTCCACGCCAGATTCCTTGTCTCAGAGTTGTTTTCTGCAGAAGACGACAGGTCTGAAAACCTCGGTGGTCATGTTCGTAGTCATGGAGTCTCCGATGTGCTACAAGTAATGTCCACCGCAGTTCTATAGGCTGTAGGAAGTGCTTCGTCGAGTTATTGGAACGTTCAAGGTTACAATGACCAAGTCCGGTCGACAGTAGTCGAGCTGTGTAGGCCATATGGTATGGTGCTAACTCCTGTTGGTTCATCAGCCTAGAGCTGTGGAATGCAAGCTTGTGTATTAGTATCTAAATATTTACATATTGTGAAGTAGCTCTCGATGGCCAGAGATTTTCAGTTTTCGTCTTGATGAAATGAGTTTATGATGAATTGATTATTGCTGACTTGGGACCAGAGCGTGATAATGATTTTGGAATCCAATGATCAATGAAACCTCCATATTGGATGGGAACTTCAGCTATTGATGGAAGTCCT